TTTATCTCAAATTATCCTCACTTTGTCTTTTGGCAACTCCTGAGAATACATCTTCTCTTCATTCCTGCGCTACTCTTCCTTCTCAACTCGCCTGACCGTATTAGCTACACGGACCCGGGAATCAATCTCAAATCTTACTGACGTTTAAGTAAGCAATTATCAAGATGATGTAGTCGCGGTTTGGAAATTAACCACCAACTATTAATAGATCGCAAATTGGGGTCTTGCACGTGTGAGTGAATTTCATGAACATCATGTGAGGAATGTGTATTGAATCACAAGCACATCGTTTCCGTATTGAAATAATTGTAGCATTCTGATGGTGTCGTATATGCCGTCTGGCGCCATCATTTAAAAACAGACTTCAGATTCACTGTATCGTCGATCTCAATGGGACTTTTTTTTTTTAAATCGGACTGCACCATGGGATAGTTTCAATGCAAAATGCATCACAGCTTCATATATAATACCTCAACAAATGCCAGAGCCAGCAAGCTGTAAGAACTAAGAATATACCTTATATATTCTCATTTCTTGTTAAGCTGGAAAGTGACAGCTTTTGGTCCGCAGTAGCCGAGCTACCCAATCCCCCTTCCCTCCAATAACAAGGCGTCCTGCGGCAGGACCGAGGGTGCCGACGACACGTGATGGGCGCATTCACGCCATCCTGACGACAGCGATCAGCACGCCAAAGCGGGGCGGGAAGGCGGCTACAATTGGTACAGTTTGCACTGCCAACTTGGCATCCCGAATCGGGATTCCCGAGAGTCATGCCTTTATTACTGTGTCCGGGAGTATCCATATCCGAAGCCTGTGAATCATAGGACAACGTTCAGATGAATGTCATGGGCCTGACCACTTCAACTTTGACAAATTGGCTTGTTCATGCGCGGTATCGTCGGTGCAGAAACGCAACGGTTAGTGCATAGGAGATTTACACTGTACACGGCCACTTCAACAGGCAGCTCACTAACAACGAGTCACTGTGGAATTTGCGAAGGACCCCCAACTCGATCACGAAAAATTCGATCCACCTCGCGCAAACGTTAAGCAAATCGCTGCCCAAGTGCCTCAGAAACTCAAAGGCACCTTCGAAATCCACTGTAACAGCACCGCACCGATGAGTGGAGACCATGACAGCATCACGGTCACTGCCAAACCCAAGGAAGTGGCGCCGTTCCTCAAGAGCTTGCGTCAGATGCTCAATTCGGAGAACCCTGCCATCCTACGCTGGATGCCCGACGGCAAGGCCTTCGAGATCCACGATATGGACGCCATGATGCGCCTCGTGCTGCCCAAGTACTTCAAGCACGGCAAATACACGAGCTTCCAGCGCCAGCTCAATTACTTTAGCTTCCGTAAGTGGACCAAGTCCAAGGCTGTCGTCTGCACCTTCTCGAATCCCTTTTTCCAGCGCGACCAGCCAGCGCTCGCCTGGCGTATCACGCGTAAGAAGTCGCTACATTCGATTGATAAAAGCCCCAAGAGCGGTAGCACCAAGGTCCAGGCCAAAGCCCAGAAGTCGACGCAACCTCCCAAGCCAATTGTGATCAAGCTACCGTCGAGAGAAGCCAGCAATCCGGCCTCGTTATCATCTCCTACGGACGCGTACTCGTTGGCGAACACACTGGACCTGCGCAACATGTACGGTGAGGTGTCGGAGATCACCTTCCACGACCCATTAAGCGGGTTGCTGGACGACTACTCGCTCGATTGGGTCGATGTACTCTACTCGTCACTCGAACCGCAGACCAACA